TAGTAGTAGTAGTAGTAGTAGTAGTAGAAGTAGTAGTCGTAGTAGTAGTAGTAGTAGTAGTAGTAGTAGTAGTAGTAGTAGTAGTAGTAGTAGTAGTAGTAGTAGTAGTAGTAGTAGTAGTAGTAGTAGTAGTGTAGTAGTAGTGTAGTAGTAGTAGTAGTAGTAGTAGTAGTAGTAGTAGTAGTAGTAGTAGTTATAGTAGTAGTAGTAGTAGTAGTAGTAGTAGTAGTAGTAGTAGTAGTAGTAGTAGTAGTAGTAGTAGTAGTAGTAGTAGTAGTAGTAGTAGTAGTAGTAGTCGTAGTTTAGTAGTAGTAGTTTAGTAGTCGTAGTTTAGTAGTAGTAGTAATAGTAGTAGTAGTAGTAGTAGTAGTAGTAGTAGTAGTAGTAGTAGTAGTGGTGGGAGGAGGAGGTGGAGGAGGAGGAGGAGGACGAGGACGAGGGGGGGGAGGTAGAGGATGACCCGGATTTTGGGACGGTTTGTGGGGGAGCTGCGGATGCCTCACAGGCATTCGGGTCCCCGAATGGAGTTTTTTGGCCTGGCCAGGGTGGGCCTTCCTCTCCGAGACGGTGGCCTCCAGGGGGCCTCCCGGCGCGGGTAGGCCCTCTACTGTGTCTCACAGGGGCGATCCAATCTTACGGCTGCTCCTCCTCCACCGCGCCCCTAAAACCTCGATTCTCCTCCTCTCCCTCCTCCCCTCTCCCTCTCGTGATCCTTTCCCCTCTTCCCCTCTCACTCTCTACCCCTCCTCCCCCTCCTCACCCTCCTCCCCTCTCCCTCCTCCCCCTCTTCCCTCCTCCCCCTCCTCCCCCTCCTCCCCCTCCTCCTCTGCCTCCTCCCCCCCCCTGCTCCCCCTTTTCCCCCTCCTCCCTCCTCCCCCTTCCCCTCCTCCTCTTTCTGGCCCACAGAGGCGGCCCTCCCTCCGAGGACCAGTTCCGGGGGGCGCTGCAGCACCACTCGGACAGCACTGGCGCCGCGGGGGGATGGAAAGCACCCGCCCAGAGGAGGAGGAGGAGGAGGAGGAGGAGGAGGAGGAGGAGGAGGAGGAGGAGGAGGAGGAGGAGGAGGAGGAGGAGGAGGAGGAAGAGGAGGAGGAGGAGGAGTTTCATCAGGCGCGACGCCAAGCGTGCAGGCACAGTTTGGCGGCTCGGGCGCAAGCCCGACCGTGAGATAAAAGGGCCCGAGCACCTCCCCAAAGGGGAGTGCCAGCAGGCGCAGCCAGGGGCCTACAACCCGTCCGCAGCCTCGTCCACGACGACCAGGTCACCGACCAGGCCGTCGAGGACGAAGTCCGCGAACGGCCGAGGCCTAACCTGGCCGCTGGCCAAGGGCAGAGGAAGACCAGTGCGCGGGTGCTTGCCCTCCCACAGGCGACCCAGGCGGGGCCGCGTCTGTGGGGGCACAATCCCGAGGAAGCTGCGCGAGGAGCTGAGCGTTCTCGCTCGAGTGCGCTCCGAACCTCGCGCAGAAAAGGAAAGGGCCCACGCACCATACGCGGTGGAGGCCCTCGCCACTCTACGAAGGAGGCCCGGTCGAAGCTACGGCCGCCGCCGCCGCCAGGGTGGCGCCAAATTCTTGCGCCCAGCGGCAACGAGGGGGCGCGCTGGGACCGGCCGCGACGGCCTGCCCTTCGAGCTCGTGGCGGCGGTGGGTTCAACCCATCCAAGGAGAGTTGTTGAAGGCGAGTCAAGATTATGGAGGAAGAGGAGGAGGAAGAGGAGGAGGATGAGGAGGAGGAGGAGGAAGAGGAGGAGGAGGAGGAGGCTGATGATGATGATAATGATGATGCTGCTGCTGATGATGATGATGAGGAGGAGGAGGAGGCGGAGGAGGAGGAGGAGAAAGCTGAGGCGGAGGAGGAGGAGGAGGAGGAGGAGGAGGAGGCTCACCTTTCACTGCATACAGGGGTGGGGGAGGGCGGGCCCAGGGCGGAAGAGGGGGCGCGGAGAGGGCAAGAACGAGGGCGGTCGTCCATCGGAAGGGCATTTGGGGTGCCATTTTTGCTCTCAGACGATGCGGAGAGAGCTCCTCCTCTCAGGCTTGCCGGTGGTCGTCGACTTCTTCTCGCACTCCTGCGGCCCCTGCCGCATGATCGCCCCCGCTTTCAAGCGTCTCGCGAAGGAGTACAAGGGGCGAGCAGTCTTCCTCAAGGTCGACGTCAATCGGAATTACGAGGCGGCTTCCGCCTGCAGCATACGAGGAATGCCAACTTTTCAGTTCTATCTCCACAAGAAGAAGATCTCGGAATTCAGCGGCGCGGACGAGAGGACTTTGCGGCGGTACACGGAGAGCGCCGTGGACAGGTCCGAGGACCAGGGCCGGCGAGCAAAACGAAGCGTGCGCAACATGACATTGGCGTGAATTGTCTTGTCAAGGAACACCTGGCGTGCAGCACCCACCACTCACACGAACATGCACACTCGGACTCGGTAGCCCTTCCGCCTCCGCCGGCCCAGCCGTGGCGCCTCCGTTGACTCGGCCCACCCATTGAATGGGCAGGACTCGCTCCCAAACATGGCGACGTCCTGATTTTTTCAGCACGGCGTCCCTGGAAGTCCCGACCCTTTCCCCTGGACCCGGTTTTTAGTCCTGGGCCGTTTTTTGACGGTCCCGAGGCCCGGCGAGGGCCTTCCGGGGCCGAAAATAGCCAAAAGCTTCCCGCCCTGATTTTTTTACGACGCGATCATGTCTGGGCTTCGGTGCTGACTCGAGGGGCCCACCACACTCCGCCGACCCCCAGGGGATGATGTGTGCGGCTTCTGGTTCTTCGCGCGTGCTGTTTGGCCGCTTCCCGTCGTGCCGCCTGCGCGGGGAGGTTGCGGATCGATGTGTTCCTCGTTCTGGGCGTCTGCCGTGAGGCTTCTTGGTTGGAGGAGGAGGAGGAGGAGGATTTCCAAGCGCGCTATAGGCTTAAAGGGTACCTAAACCCATCTTTAAGGATGAGGCGGCCACATCCTCAGAGTTGGAGGTACTGCCGAAAGCTATCGGCCACCTGCTGATACCAAGGGGGCCAAACCCCACTTATAGCTTTCGGCCGTACCTCGGGATAGGGAGCCTATCCGTCAGGAATAGCTGCTCGAATTTCCACCCCTCATTCCCGGACCCGGAAGATCCGAAATACAACAATTACGTATCATCGAGCAGCTATTCAATTCGACCGTCGGTCGAATGGCAAACTCTGGCACCATGGACCCTCCCCGATTCTATTCGACCGTCGGTCGAATGAAACGCCCTGGCCCGTGGACCCCCTGCCACAAACCTCGGGGAGGGTAACTGGCCCTCGGCGAGGCATTCTATTCGACCGTAGGTCGAATGACGAGCTCTGGCACCGTGGGCTCCCCCCCGATTATACTCAACCGTCGGTCGAATGACACGCCCTGGCATCATGCAGCTCTCTGCGAAGCCATAGCCCGGGGTTGACAGACACGGCACCGAAGGAGCGCTCGCGGCGGAGCCACAGCACGAGGGAGTATCATGGCACCCCGGTGTTCCCCCCTTTCAAAACGAACCATGGTCCGTTTGGCCATCGTCACGACGATCGCGGGGGGAGAGCGAGTTGAAGGGGGAAAGGAGATGTCAGGGGAGAGCCGGGAAAGGGAAGGGGACAAGGAGGGACGCAGACGGGAGGACGGTGATGGCGGCGGGGGGTGCACGGGTGAGCGAAATAGGAACCGGTCCAAAATCACAAGGGCCTCCGGGGGATGCGGAGAGATCTCGCGCCGCAGGAACCACCACCTAAGACTCGACGCACCAGTACGGTGAATGCGGATGGGGGCGCGGAGAAGAAGCAGGGCGGCGCCAACGGTAAGACGAGGCCGATGTTTTGTGTGCCAGAGCCAACACAATCAGGGGCCAGGTTGGGTCCGACGAGAGAAGCAATAGACAACAGCCGCAAACAGTCCCCGGCTGCGTACAAGGACGGGCGTCCCGCGCAGATACAGCTGCAGACGCAAAAGGCGTGTAGGCATTACGGGCGCGACCATGAGGAGAAGGACCGAAGGTCGGTGGGGGAGGAGAGAAGGAGCAAGGCGGAAGAATCGCTTTTTAATTCCCCGCCTCTGCCTCGAAAAGGATAGCCAAAGGAAAGGGCGGGGTGATGGAAAGTAATCTCACATTGCGGGATTGAACCTACTCGCGCATATCATACGCACAAGTTCGCACCAGCATCTTCTCTTGCGCGGCTGGTCTCAGTTCGCGCCGGCAGCTTCTGTCGCACGGGGGAGGTCTCTAAATCACCCCCGGGCCGACGTTGGGCCGCAGCTAGGTGGCCGGAGCGCGGGGGACAAATCTTGCCCCCCCCCCCCACGCAAAGCGCATCGGTGGCATCGGCCACGCGGCCGGGACAGAGAGGTTAACAAAGTGTCCCCCCCGTCCTTGGTGGAAGCCCAATAACGTGTCACATCTGTGGAGAACCTGCCATGCAACGCACTTGAAGCAAACGCGTTCAGGAGATCTGTGACGCAGTGCGAGCAAATACGGCCGAATTCACACATAGTAGCAAGATGAGAGGGGATGACGAGAGAACCTTCCGTCCTGTATCCCAGTTCTCGCACGCCGCTGGGACTGCAGACAAGGGGGCCTCGCATATGAAACGGACAATGCGGGAACCGACCGAACTCTCAAGTCTGCAAGCCCCCGGTCTCACCCGCGCGCGTGGAATCCCATTCTTTATGGCGCGTGCGCTCGGCAGAAGCAACGCGTGCGTAAGATAATGCGGATTATGGCCACTGGGAGTGTGCAGTCGCGCGCCACGATGTTCGGTGTGCTGGCCGTGGTGGGTGCGCGGGGGCGGCATCGTATCCCACGTGCGTGTGCGCCCAATCGCGAACTCACACCAGCGCGCGTACCTATGCGTGTGTGTGTGTGTGGGCAATAAAGGGGAGCTCACGGGCAGAACGCGCATACCGCACGCCCTTGCCGGGTACGCGAGCGCATCGTGCTCACCGAACACACGTGTCGAACGCACGTAGTGAGCAACCGCGCTTCTCACCACAGCAACAGAAAGGAGGGCAGGGGAGCTTATTCGGGCCAAGGGGAAAGCCCGAACAGCCCCGCGAGGCGGTGAGGCCCCGTGCGTGTGTGTGTGTGTGTGTGTGTGTGTGTGTGTGTGTGTGTGTGTGTGGGTGCCTTCGGGCTAAACCCGTGCACTCCCCTTTGCTTTGGCGCCCTGGTGGCGCACCGCAGCACCAGAGAGGAGGTTCGGGGAGCTTATTCGGGCCGAGGGGAAAGTCCGGACAGCCCAACGGGGCGGTAAGGCCCCATTTGGCGGGTGCCGTCGGGCCAAGCCCGAACAATGCCGCCCTGGTGGCGCACCACAACGCCAGAAATGATGTTAGGGGAATTTATGCGGGCCAGTGGGAAAACCCGAACAGCCCCGCGGGGCGGTAAAGCCCCATTTGGGGGGTGCCGTCGGGCCAAGCCCGAGCAACGCCCCCTTGCTTTTGCGCCCTGGTGGCGCAACACAACACCTGCAAGGAGGTTAGGGGAGCTTATTCGGGCCAACGGGAAAGCCCGAACAGCCCCACGGGGCGGTAAAACCGTATTTTGGGGGTGCCGTCAGGCCAAGCCCGAACAACGCCCCCGTTGCTTTGGCGCCCTGGTGGCGCACCACAGCATCAGAAAGGATGTTTGGGGAGCTTATTCGGGCCAAGGGGAAAGCCCGAACAGCCCCACGGGGCGGTGGAGCCACATTTGGGGGGTGCCGTCGGGCCAAACCCGAACAACGCCCCCTTTGCTTTGGCGCCCTGGTGGCGCACCACAGCACCAGAAAGGAGGTTCGGGGAGCTTATTCGGGCCAAGGGAGATCCCGAACAGCCCCGCGGGGCGGTAAAGCCCCATTTGGGGGGTGCCGTCGGGTCAAGGCCTGAGCAACGCCCCGTTGCTTTGGCGCCCTGGTGGCGCATCACAGCACCAGAAAGGAGGTTAGGGGAGCTTATTCGGGCCAAGGGGAAAGCCCGAACAGCCCCGCGGGGCGGTAAAGCCCCATTTGGGGGGTGCTTCCGGCCGAACAGGGAGACCGGGATCGCTCTGAGATCCCTGGCGCGGAGGAAGGCCCATCTTGGGGGGTTCTTTCGGGCCGAGCCCGAACACCCCCCCTGGCTTGGGGTGCCCTGGTGGGGCTCCCAGCAACAGCCAAGGTAAAAGCAATTCCGCGCTTCTCTGTTGTAAGCCTGCCCGCTTTCCTGGCGGCCGGTGGGTCGCATCTCTTTGCGGAACGGTCTTGTTGTGCTGGTATCGCCCAGGCACCCTGACCCGCGGGGCGTTTGTGAGGGTGCTCGTCGGAAGTGTGAAATGCTCACTTCCTTACCAGTGCCCCGTGCGTCCCTCACAAACAGCAGCCGCGCAGGCTACGGGTTGCCATCGGCACGGGGAGGAGGAGGAGGAGGAGGAGGAGGAGTAGGAGGAGGAGGAGGAGGAGGAGGAGGAGGAGGAGGAGGAGGAAGAGAGGAAGAGGAAGAGGAAGAGGGAGAGGAAGAGGAAGAAGAAGAAGAAGAAGAAGACGAAGACGAAGACGAAGACGAAGAAGAAGAATAATAATAACAATAAGAAGAAGAAGAGGAGGAGGAGGAGGAGGATGGAGGAGGAGGAGGAGGAGGAGGAGGAGGAGGAGGAGGAGGAGGAGGAGGAGGAGGACTCGGGGGCTGCTTTGTCGGAGCCTGCTCAAGGCTCCTGGGGCGATTTTTGGGGCTTCTCGGGGGCCGCTTCGGAGCATGTTGGGGGCTGTGCGGGCGATCTTGTGGGGGAGGGCCCCGAGGGCCTTCCGGGTCTCCTTGCAGGTTTCCCCTCTCGGGCTTGTCTTGAGCCCTCTTCGGGTGCCCTCTTGAGGGCCTTTTGGGGCCCTTTTGAACGTCTTTTGGGGCCCTATTGGGCCTGTCTCGAGCCCCTTTTTTGGGGGGCTCTCTTGAAAGCCTTTTTTGGACCGTCCTAAGGGCCGTCTTGGGTCGTCTTGGGCCCTCCATTTTGGGGCCCTATCTTGGGGGGGATCGTGGACCGTCGTGTGCTGTTCTGGGGAGGGAGGGCTCGCGGGCCGCCTGGGACTCGCAGAAGCCCGCAGGGGTTGTGGAGGACGATCAATGGAGAGGAAGCATGTTGCCAAATCATCTCCAGATGTCTAAAACATATAAAGCACATGCTTTTAAACATGCAACAACATGTTTAAACCATGTTTAGAACATTTCTCCTACACTTTAAACACATGTTAAATTCATTGATGGGACTGTTAGGGTGTCCATTGTCGTGGCATCCACAACGCAAGGGCGAGGACGCGAGGATATTACAAGCCAGATGCGAGGTCATTGGCTTTTGCCTCCCGAGGCCCTCGTGGAAGTTCTCCCGGGGTTCTATTGGGGTGTCCTGGGGCCCCATTGGGCCGTCTTGGGACCGTCCTGGGTGTTTTTCAGGCGTGCCTAGCGTACTGGAGGTTTTCGTGAGCCATCTTGAAAAGGCATCTTGGGCGTCTTGGATGCCATGGGTGGCGGAGGATTCGGAGGTTCCGAAGGTCCCGGAGCTGCGTTGACGAGCTCGTCACCATCCCTTCCTCCTGTCCCTTCTGACGGGTTTTTGGGCCCCAGGGCCCGAGGAGGAGGAGGACAGCAACTCGTGTCTCTCGCTCTCTTCTTCCCAGCAAGCCGGGGTCGGCGGATTGTACCTCGCCTCCAGGTTGCCCCAATTATCCACACACGGCGCCAGATAGCCAGTGAAGCTGGCACTAGACGTCCCCCAGATGTGAAGGTTCCGCTGGCAAGACCGGAAATTCAACAGATGCTTGATTCATCGGGCTCCCTGAAGGAGGTGGGCACTTACGTCGGCCTGGAGGTCACGGCTGCAGCTCTTAGAGCCTTCTACGAGGAGCACGACCAGTCAAAGTTGCCAGAGGTGGACGCGCTGGCAGCAAAGTACGCCTCCAAGACCGCCGTGTTGATGCGGGTCAGCAGCCAGAAGTACGGCAGTTCCCCCAGAACTTCCCCGCGCCTCTCCGAGGGCGAGACGAAGAAGGCGAGATCGCGCCCTTCTCCCGCCTCCCCTCCCCTCCCCTTCCCCTCCCCTCCTCCCCTCTCTCCCTCCCCCCTCCCTCCCCCCTCTCCCCCTCCCTCCCTCCCTCCCTCCCTCCCTCCCTCCACAATTACTCAATATGAATACTACTCTCCCTCTTCCCCTGATGACGGTTTGAAAGTATTAGCCCCCCCCCCCGCGTATTGTTTTTTACCACAGGATTCCCCGGAGTTGGGTTTTCGCCTGCATTTGTTTCCAAAATGCTGCTCTCGCTGAGGCGCCGGCCTCATTTTCGGGCCCCGCTCGTTCCGAATCGTGCTCCCGCTGCAGCGCTGGCCTCATTTCCGTGCTTCGCTCGTTCCGAATCGTGCTCCCGCTGCAGCGCTGGCCTCATTTCCGCGCTTCCGCTCGTTCCGACTCGTGCTCCCGCTGCAGCGTTGGCGTCATTCCCGTGCCATACCACGGCATGCAATGCAATGCTAGGTTGATACTACGCTTTGCGGTGCTCTTCTACGCCATGCCATGCCGTGCTCTACAATGCATCGCGTACCCTTTCGGGATCATTGCCCTGCTCGACATCCGACTGTGCGAGTAGAGAGGGGATCTACGCCATGGTAAGGGATGGGAGGGAGGGGTAGGATGTCAGATATGACGCGTGCGCACCTAGCTTGCCCCCTCCCCCTCCCCCTCTCCCCTCCCCCACTTCCCCTCTCTCCCTCCCCGTCCCCTTCCCCCTCCCCCTCTACAAATATATGAATACTATTATCCTCTCTCCCGTGACTCTGTCCGGAGAGTGTCCCGTCCTCTCCGCGTATTGTTTTTTTGCACAGGATGCTGGTTTCCTATGCTTTTTTGTGCAATCGGGTCGTTTCCGGTTCTCCCAAAATGGTGCTCCCGCTGCAACGCCGCCCTTTCCGCGTTTCGGTCTTTCGAAATCGTGCTCCCGCTGCAGCGCTGGCCTCGTTCCTGCGCCTTCCTTCGGTTTTTCCAATTCGTGTTCCCGCAGCAGCACTGGCGTGTTCGGTCCTTCAGGTGGCGCTGTCGCTGTAGCGCTGGCCTCGTTCCACTGCTTCGGTCCTTGAAATCGTGCTCCCGCTGCAGCGGTGGCCTGATTCCCGTTTTCGGTCCTGGCCTCGTTCCCGTGCTCCAGTCCTTCTAAATCGTGCTCCCGCTGCAGCGCTGGTCTCATTTCCGTCGGTCCTGGCCTCATTCCCGCGCTTCGGCTCTTCCGAATCGTGCTGCAACGCTGGCCTCTTCTTCAAAAGCGCCCCACTGGATCACCATGGAATTGAAAAGGAAAAGGGGGGGGTGCTCGCAGAACCCTCCCCGCTCCCCCCCTTGAAAGGGGGAGTGATTTTCGAGGATTCCTGGGGATGCCCCACGGGCTCTGGGAGAGGGCTCCCTGGCTCCCGGGGGCTTCCCAGGGCTTCCGCGAGGGACCTGGCCGAGTGCCGCCGAGGCCGCGCCCCTCCTCCGCCCCGAGGCCCGCGCCGGCGCGGGCGGGGCCCCCGCGGGGCTCGGCGGGGACCTCTCCGCGCTGCCGCCGGCGGAGCTGCGGGCGGAGGCGGCCCAGGGGCGCGAGGTCGACAGTCACTACTGTCAGAGGAGGGAAGACCCCAGACCCCTTCGGGTCATGAAAAAATCATGACGGGAGGTTTTTGGATATTTTCGGCCTCTGGGGGCCCTTACCGGCCTTCGGGACCGTCAAAAAACGACTCAGGATGAAAAACCGGTCCAGGGGAATGGGTCGAGACCTCCAGAGGTCGACTTAATGAAAAAATCATGACGTCGGGGGTCTGGGACAGGTTTTCATGCCATGCGCCGCCCAGGTTTCTTCAGGACGGCGCCCCTGGGAGTCCCGGCCCTCTCCCCGGGACCGGGTTTTCGTCCTGAGCCGTTCCTTGACGGTCCCGCGGCCCGGCGAGGGCCCCCCAGGGCCAAAGGTAGCCAAGAATCCCCCGTCTTGATTTCTTAACGACGCGATCGTGCCTGGGTTTTCGTACCGCAGCCCTTCGCGCCCGTCTTGCCTTTTTTTCGCCCCCCTGGGATGGGAGGCCCTCGGCGCAACCGCTGGATTCGCCTCGACTTCCTGGTCAGAGCGCGCCCCGGGCGAGGCCCGTGGAGCCAGAGGTAGCGGTACCTTTTTTGGTTTCCCCACACTTGCCAGACCACCCCAACTGGAGGAGCAAGCCACGATGTACCCCGAAGTCGGGCATGCTACCCTACAGGAGGCGTAGTCAAAAAGAGCCACAGACTGGTCGGTGGACGATTGTTCTTCTACTTTGGAATACTTTTGAATACTTTGGGCTATAGAAACATCGTCCCAGACCCGCCTGTGGGAGGACATGTCCGACCCAAATGCGCCCAGAGATCCGACGCTCCGACACAAATGGGAGCGGCGGGCTTGTACAGGCCTCCTTCGGCCTCCGGGGGCCCTCGCCCGGCCTCGGGGCCGTCAATGAGACGGCTCGGGACGGGAAGCCTGCCCTACAGGGAAAAGGTTCAGGCCTCCGAGGCCCACAGACTACACCGAACAGTTGGAGCAGCCGGAGGTCTGGGTGAGCATACCCTTTCGTCGACTAGACGTAAGAGTGGCCTTTCGCCGGAGTGACCTTTGGTGCGGGCTCAGATGGGTCCCCAGATGGCCGAAAACGAAGCAGGAGCAGCGGCTTGCGCGCCCAGGTTTGGGGCCCCCCCGCGGCCCCCAAAAAGCCGCGCACGAGAGGTCACTCTTACCCAGGGTCACTCTTGCGTGTAGCCTATTTCGGAGGTCCTCGCGGGCTTCTTGGGTCGACAGTCGCTGCGTGCCAGGCCACCCCAACTCGACCCGAAGGTCCCAGAGCCCCCCAAGTTTCGGGTTGGGCGGGGTGCGGGTTCCACCAGGTACTCCAGATTCCACCGGGTACTCCAGACCACCCCCCTTTTATTGTGAAATCTGGAGTATTCTTGCGGGTGTCCGGGGAGCGTCCGCCCACTCGGAGCTGGCATGCCCAGCGGCGACTTCGGCTCGGGCGCTGGGGTGGCTCGGTGGGCGGTCGGGGGCGCGGGGTCGCCAGACTCGTGAGCTCAGCTGCCCTGGTACGCCCGTGTTGAAACGCGACGCGTGCCGTGCTCGAAACGTCCATGTATGTAGACAGTGTTCGTGTTGGCTCAGCGTGTTGGTCCGCGTTTTGGCGAGCGTATCCGCGCCAAACGCACGTATGGAACTCAGTGTCAACACGCTACGGGTTGCGCGCTGCGTATCGGGGCAGCTGAGCGCGTAAGAGTGACCTTCTCCGAGTGACCTTTGGTGCGGGCCCACTGAGGTTCCCCGCTCGCTGAGCGCGAAGCGGTAGCAGCAGCCTGCGCGCTCCCCCCCCCAGCCTCCGTGAAGCCGCGCACCAAAGCTTACTCTTGCCTGGGGTCACTCCTGCGTGCAGCCGACGGAGGCACCTTTGCACAGAAGATCGCGTAATGTTCCGCTCGTCTTAGATTGAATGAGTATCTGCGATGAGCGCCCAGCAGCGCTCAATAGCGCCGACTAGCGCCGACTAGCGCCCAGCAGTGCCGACTGGCGCTCAAATAGCGCCCAACAGCGACCAGTACCGCCCAATAGCGCCCTGTGAGGGACATGCACTCTGTTTGCTTTGCGCGCGATTGGGCGCGCTGTGGTGCGCCAGGGGCCGTCGTCGTCGGACGGGGCTGGGATTAAGTCGGGCTTGTCCCTCTAAAGGAGGAGGAACATTCAAACATAGTATAAAGATAGTCAGTTTTTTATTTATAAGAATAAATAGATAAATAAATAGATAAATACATACATACATTAATAATATGTTTTGTTTTTTCGGGGGTAGTTTAGGGGTATTTTTAAATTTTTCGTTCAAAATCCACCTGTAGGGGGACAGGCCCGACCTACGGCTAGGACGATGATCAATCCGTTCCAGAGCGCTCTGGAACGTTCTCAGAGCGTCCCGGAGCTTTCTGAGAAGGCCGCGGCGCCCGAGGCATCCTCCAGAGCCGCCGGATCTCAGAGATGATGCTCGATTTGCCGCAACCCTATTTTTTTCCTCGTCCTGGCTTCGTCTCAGTCTCTGGGCCTCCCAGAAGGGGTCGGAGTAGAGGGGGTCGGAGGGTCGCGCGCATCGCCGATGCATGGGTGATGCTGCTCGATGTGCAGCCCGATGTGCTTCACGTCGACGTCGCCGATGCATCGCCGACGTCGACGATGCATCGCTGGTGCATCGCCGGTGCATCGCCGATGCATCGCTGATGCATCGGCGATGCGGCGCGATCCTCCGACCCCATCCAGGAGGCCTCTGCAGTCGTCGGGCCCTGGGAGCCCCAGGAGTGGAGGCTGGGCGAGAGGAGCTGGCCTCGGGGAGGGGGTCGGGCCCTCTGGGGCCGCGCACGGAGCAGATCTTGTCGTCGTCGTCGTCGTCGTCGTCGTCGTCGTCGTCGTCGTCGACCGTCGACCGTCGACCGTCGACCGTCGACGGCCACAGCCTTGGTGCCCCGACGCCGAGGCTGAAGCTGCGTGGTCTGAGGCCCCTTCTGCGCGGGTCCCCGTCCCACGGGGCCCCGTCTTGGGACCGGCCGAGGGGGCGCATCGGGCCTCGCGTGAGCAAAGGGGCAGCACGGGCAGGGGCCGGTGGGGAGTGGAGTGGACTGGGGCCAGGGTTGTAGTCCAGCATCGTTGATGCATCTTGGCTTTACTCGGTTCCTCCTCCTTTTCCTCCTCCTTTTCCTCCTCCTCCTCCTCCTCCTCCTCCTCCTCCCTGGGAAGCTCCTCCTCCTCCTCCTCCTCCTCCTCCTCCTCCTCCTCCCCCTCCTCCATCCTCTGTCCTAATGAATATATCTTCCCTGTCGCACCTGGAGACGTGTCGGTAGGGCGGGCCAGTCGTTCCGCGCGCGTTCTTTCACCAATTCTGATCCTAAAGCTTCGAGTGTGCAACAGTTTCACGGATGGAGGGCTGGCCGTTTTCAAAATGTAGCCTTCGCCTCACAGCCGCGCGCATTCGTTGTAAAAGCTGGCAAGATATTCACGTATGGAGGGCAGGTGGTTTTCACAACGTGGCTCTCGCCTGAGCGCCGCGCACATTTGTCGTACAGTTTGCAAGCGTTTCATGGGGACGGATGGAGCGCGGTTCCTTTTCAACATATATCTCTCGCCTTAGCTCTGCGCACATTCGTTTCAAAGTTTCCAAGAGTATCTAATGGCTTTCGGAACATCCCGCCACCGTGCTTGGGTTGTGGGTATGAAGCCTTTTGGATGTTCGTTGGGATCTCGTGGGAGGCCTTGCAGGGGCCTCTTGGAGGCAGGTTTGAGGCCTCTCGGGGGCCGTCTAGGTGGTTCTTTGGGCCTCTGGGGGTTCCCTTGAGGCCTCTTGGGGTCCTCTGTGGGGCCTCTTGGGGCCTCTTGGGCGCCTCTTGGGGCATCTTGGGGCGGAAGTCTCGGATTTTCGGTTCGAGCTCCCTCTCTTGGGCCCCTTTTAGGGCTGGCTTGGGGCCCTCTTGGGCCGTCTTGGGCGCCTCTTAGGCCGCCTTGGGGCGCTCTTAGGCCGTCTTGGGACCCTCTTGGAGGCCTCTTGGGCCGTCTTGGGGTGGTCTTGGGGGCCTCTTGGGGCCTCTTGGGCGCCTCTTGGGGCCCTTTGGGGCGGAAGGCTCGGATTCTCGGTTCGAGTTCCCTCTCTTGGGCCCCTATTGGTGTCGGCTTGGGGCCTTTGTTGGGCCGTCTTGGGCTCTTCTTGGGCCGTCTTGGGGCGCTCTTGGGCCGTCTTCGGGCCCTCTCGGAGGCCTCTTGGGCGGTCTTGGGGTTGTTTTTTGGGGCCTCTTGGGCTGTCTTGGAGCGTCGGGAAGTCGAAGACGCGAGAACGCCCAAATCCTTCGAAAACCTTGGGATTCGCTGTCGGGGGCCTCTGGCTCATCGATCGGCGATGGTTCGCCGATTCCAGGTCGATTCTCCCCACTGCTGAGCCAGTCACCCCTTCTCGTGGCCCTTCACTGGGTTTCCACATTGCGACAAGAAAACAAGACGTCTGGTCACGTACCAGCCTGGAGCATAGATCCCTATGGTTGGCATCACCCTATCTCGACTAGGGTTCCCTCAGTTTCTGAGGGCGCACTCCTGAGTTTGCCATCACACTTGGGCCTGTCAATCTGTGGGATAGTGATAAGCTCGAGACTGGTTATTTGGGAGACTCGGCGTCTCGATGAGTGCCGATGGCTCTCCGGGCGAGCGCCTCGGGGCTCTGGACCCGGTTGTCGCCGTCGTTCGAAGATCGAGGATCGAGCTGCTCTCCTCGCGTCGTCCCCTCGAGGATCGGTCACTCGAGCGGTGTATCGTCAGTACATGCAGTCTAGCAGGGAAGCGGGTTAGCAGGCGGTGTGACCATGGGCGTTTAGCTAAAGGCTAGCCTACCGCGCCCGCTATACAGTGTATCTTACACACCCTTCCCCGCTATACATTCCGCTTCACAGAAAACATCCGTTATCACATCCTGCTCTGCTTTTCTAGATGGTAGCGGAGCATCCCGCTCCACCACCACATCCGCCGCCATGGCCCGCTTGGCACTTCCGCGCCCCGGCGGCTACCGCTCTACAGCGTCGATTGCGACGTCCGGCTCCACGTGCTCTACAGTCATGCTGTGCATCCGCCTCGTCGCGGCAGGCGCAGTGCCTCAAGGGGCCGGCAGGGTTTCCGCTGACCCAGCCGCTAGGAGAAACCATAGTACCCCACCACGACCACCACTACCTGCACCAGAACATTTGCGAGACATATGCGGCCCCCCGCGCCCCGGTGCACTTCCGAAGTGTGTCCGAGATGCTCGGGGGCCCTTCGTCGTCACTGCGCTCGCTTGTGAGGGCCGCTGTCAGAGTCAGATCGTCAAGCGATCCGGCTCTCACTGTGTCGGCACAGGGCCCCGAGCTATTCGGAACTGTAGTGCTGAAGCCCGAGGGGGGAAAGGAAACGGACGCGCCGCCCTCAGTGCATCGCGTGTGGGTGCAGCCGACCATGTCAAGCAGTCGTTCGAGTCGACGCTCGCACTGAAGGTTCCCAGGCGTTTTTTTGTTTTTGTTCCTTTTTTATTGTTTGGTGTTGTTTTTTGTTATATATATATATATATATGTATATATATATATATAAAGTACATACATAAAAAAAAACAAGCAAGACAAAATAAAGGGGGTGGGCCGTAGAACCCCCTACTCTGTACTGCCTGTCGCCGCAACTGTGTATGGTCCGTCCGTTGTGGCTTGTTGGTGGTCGGGACGGCTTGCGTCCACGCTGCCACGGGGACGCGACGAGCCCGCTCGAGCCTCAGGCTCGAGTGGTCGACCGTCCGTACATGTAGCATCGACGGCGTGCGGGTTAGCAGGGCTTGGCCATGGGCCTTTGGTTCCAGGCTGGCTTGCCGCGCCCGCCATGCAGTGTATCTCACATGCCCCTTCGCTATGCTTTCCGCTTCGCAGAGAACGTCCGTTTTCACATCCCGCTTTGTACTTCTAGTCGGCCGAGGCTCGAGAACCGTTCGAGGATCCAGGATCGAGGATGCCTGCGGGGGTCCTGGGTGCCCCTCCCGTCGCGTCCCTGCTCCACCTCGCCGGCCCGCGTCGCGCGGAGGTGGCCCGCCTCCAAGACGAGCTCCGACGCCGAGGTGCCCCCGCGGGCGACGGTGCCGACGACGACGACGAGGATCTCGGGGCCTGGAAATTCCCGGGAGTCTTCGTGGGTTCTTCTGGGTCTTCTCGCTTTCCCCCCCTCCTCGTCCCTCCTCCCCCTCCTCGTCTCCCTCCCTCTTCGTCCTCCTCCGCAGCCGTTTCGGCTCAAGGCTCTTGCGGTGCTCGACAGTGGAACGCACGCCGTTCATCCGCGGACAGCATCCAATCTTTCTTCAGCAACTGGTCCGCCCAGTTGCTGCGTGCCTTCCGCGCCCGCGGGTTAGCAGATCCGTGTCTCGCAGAAGTTAGAGGGAGTTTCTTCCCTTTTCGGGCTACTCCGTGGCCATCACGTCAGGTGCACCGTGCGCGGTGTGCGGGTGCAAGAAGAACATGCTGTGGTACCCCTGGTGCAGGGTGTGCCACAATTCTCTTCCTGTCCTGCGTCCTGCTCGTGGTCCTCGTTCTCTCGGGGTGTGAGCTGGCCGCCGTAATTTCCCACCGCTCGCCGATGAGAGTGCTAAGCCTGTGCGCCAACCTTGGGTCCGTTCAAGAGGTTCGGGCAGTACAACATGGAGTGAATTGACCAGTCCTGCTTCTCCACCCGCTCCGCCGTCCATGGGTTCTACCGTCGAGTACTTCGAGGCATTTCAAGGGTGCGGCGGTTTCTGGGGCGGATGGCATGCCAAGAGGGCGCTCAATGTTCAAGTAAACCATGCCAAGAGGGAGAACCTCACAAAACAGGACGCTGGTACCCAAGGCATGGCCTGTCAGAAACAGCTCGATGCCAAGAGCAAGGGATCGGACCAGCTCGCGGGCAGCACCGGGTATCACAAAAAAGGGCGAGGAGCTTCCGATCAACCGTGCGCATGCTGGCGCGGAGAACGCTATTGTGAGCTGTCAGTTCAGTTCGGACCGACGCTTCCTGTGGAGGTTCACTCTCTCACAACGTACGGAGACACCTTCGAGGCGCTCCACATGTTTGTCGGGAGTGCGGGTTCGCCAGTGTCGGCTGTTGACCTTGCGCAACTCAAGCCAAATATGCAGGCGATGAAGAAGGCAGTGTGATAGGGCATCCCGTCGGTGCGTGAGGCGATGGTTCACAGGGCGGCAGAAGTGTCTGTACCTGCTGACGCCCCCGGCGGTGTTGGAAGCCAATTCGGGGAGAGGGGCTGCGGCGGTTCTTCCTCCCACCATCAACTGCGACGATGGCCTCTTCCGCATGCTCGGCGGCGACGCTGGCAACTTTCCGGGGCAGGCAAAACGCAAGATCGCGGATATCTTGGAAGCGGCTACCAAGAGGTTCTGTCCGCGGTGAGCTGGTTGAGTTCGAGGCCTTCGGGGAGGACGGGGCGCGCCGGGCGTGCCCACAGGGGCGGGGGCCGCCATCCCGTTCCCCTCGACCTCGGACGGTACCAGTGGCGACTTCGGGATTTTTCTGGAAGCGTTCAATGGGTCGGGCTGGGGATCGGCAGGTAAGCGGTTGACACCGACTTGCGCCTTTGTCGTTTTGATTCAGGAAAGCATGTTGCGTGTTTCAGTTTGACCGACAGGGGTTCTCATGATTTTGAAAGAGTGTTCTTCTGACCTAGGTCTGGCCGTGCTTCGGAGGAGCTTGATCAGGCTATCGCATGGTGTTTACTTCATGGTTGGAACGGTTTGCGGGGGCCTGCTGGGAACTCTCCTGAAGTTGGGGCTTCCGTTGGGGTGGCCGTCGTGGTTCGTGCGCCATTCCCGTTTCGTTCTCATCGAAGAAAAGAAATCTCCGGGTGTTCCTTTGGAGGTGCATTGTTGGCTTCGTGCAGCGTCCTGGTCAGCCTGCGCCGCACGAGCGAGAACATCGCTCTCCTGGGAGATGCAGCCTTGCACTTGGTTATTCTCGCTTCGCGTGCCCCCGCCAGCCCATTCGCAAAATCTGCCTCTGTGACTTGACAGGAATAAAGGACGAAGGAAGACACATACACGTGGTGAGACAGAGCGGGCAATCAGGGTGAGCAGAATGATCTTTGGGAGTAAGGGGGTGGCCTTGGAGGGCCTCTTCGGATCATCCCTGTGGCCCGCGTAAGGGCGAGGGAAGTGGGGGAGGAAGAGATGGAATGGGAGGAGGAGGGAGAGGAAGAGGAGGAGGAAACTAGGAGGAGGCGGATGGTGATGATGCTGCTGATGCTGATGATGATGCTGATGATGATGATGATGATGATGATGATGATGATGACGATGATGATGATGATGATGATGATGATGATGGTGATGATGGTGGTGATGCTGATGATGATGCTGATGATGATGATGGTAATGATGCTGCTGCTGTTGCTGCTGCTGCTGATGATGATGATGATGATGGTGGTGGTGATGATGATGATTAGGAGGAGGAGGAAGACGACGACGGCGACGACCATGACGAGGATGAACAGGAAAGGAAGATGATGAGGGCAAGGACGAGGACGAGGAGGGGGAAGAGGAGGAGGAGGAGGAGGAGGAGTAGAAGGATGATGATGATGATGATGATGATGATGATGATGATGATGATGATGATGATGATGATGATGATGATGATGATGATGATGCTGATGATGATGATGATGATGATGATGATGATGATGATGATGATGATGTGATGGTGATGGTGATGGTGATGGTGATGATGATGATGTGATGATGATGATGTATGATGTGTGATGATGATGTGATGGTGATGATGATGATGAGGAGGAGGAGGAGGAGGAGGAGGAGGAGAGGAGGAGGAGGAGGAGGAGGAGGAGGAGGAGGAACACAAAGAGGACGAGGACAAAGCCTTCAAAATCACCCCTTGCAGCACGCTTGGGGCTCTTTTTGAGGATCTTAGGATCCTGTTGGGGAGTTTTTCTTGGGGTCTTGGGGCCCTCCTGGGGCCCTCTTGGAGCCCTCTTAGGGGCCCCCTGGGAGCCCTGGAGGGCCTCTTTGGGCTGTCTTGGGTGCCATCGATCAAAAGGGGGGGTCCCAAATTTTTGCCCCCCCTGATGCCATCATCATCGCCCTTGCGCCCATCTTGGGGCGCTCTTGGGGCGCTCTTGGGCGCGTTGGGGGACATTTAGGGGGCCTCTTGAGCCCCTGTTGGGCCTCGCCTGGGCCTTTTGGGGCTATTGTGAACAAGCGCGCATCGGGAGTGAATGGGCGAGAAGGCCAACGTCATTGTTTATTCCTTTGGTTTTTGACGATTGTGGCTTCTTGGGGAGGTCCTGGGGGGCACCGGGAACACTTGGAACTGCATTGTGGCCCTCGCTGGGCCTGTTGGAGGTATGTCGGAAGTTTGATTGAACCATCGTCGGCTGTTTTGAGCCATCTGGGAGGCCATCTTGGCGCATCGGACGCGGTCTTGGGGTCATCTTGAGCCATCTTGGACGCTCAGACGTTTCGCGATACTCTCCCCCGCCCCCCCGAAGAACCTGGGCTGGGGGGGGGGGGGAGCCTCTCCGGAAAGGAGCAAGTTTTCGGAAGAAGGGCTGGTGGGACTAGTACGGGTGTGCCCGATGGAGGAGACTTCTCACCGCCTACCAAACCACCCCAACCCAACTCGAATGCCCCGATTTGCCCTCCATTTCGAGTGGGGGGGTGTCGAAATTCGGGTTTTCGGGTAAGGTTGGGGTGGTCTGGTAGGTAGTCAATTTCAATGTGGTTCCTGAGGTTCTCCATGGGCATGGTCTTCCAGGGCTCTTCCGCGGCAGCCTATCATCGGCCCCTGGGGGTAGAGGCTCTGAGGCTCTTATTGCGATCTCTTTCTGGTCCCGAACGGTTTGAGTACACGCGGGTCGTTGAAAGTAGGTGTTTTTGGAGTCCCAGATCTCAACCTACTTCAAGCGCCTCCCTACTTCAAGAACTAATCTGCGGTTGCTGTGTGTTTGTTTAATTTGGAAGGGCCTGAACCCAACCTACTTTATCCGTCTTCCTACTTCATGCTTTCACCTACTTCTTCCGATCGATGGGTAACACCAGCGACTTCACTCTGATCGAGGAAACGGCTGCGTTCCTTCGCCTGCCCGTCAGCTTGCAGGTTCACATTTCGCTCCGCACGCTGCGAGCGCTTCGCGGTCGTCAGCCGCCCAGTTTTGTTCGTGTACCCTACCACTGGGGCCGTCGGCGGAGCCCCCGGGTTGGGATCCTGTCCTGGGCACTGTTTTGGCCGCGCCCTGGAGCTGGTGCGTTCTGGAGACTGGCGGGGGCGCTCTGTGGATTCGGGCATTGTTGCAAGGTGGAGGAGGGGGGGGAGGAGGAGGGAGGAGCAGGAGGAGGAGGAGGAGGAGGAGGAGGAGG